AGGGCTGTTGGGCTATTGGGCTATAGGGCTATAGGGCTTAGGGCTATAGGTCTATAGGGCACCCCCGGGCACCCCCGGGCACCCCCGGGCACGCCCGGGCACCCGGGCACTCGGGCACTCGGGCACCCCTGGGCACCCCCCGGGCACCCGGGCCCTGGGCAACCGCGGGCACCCGGGCACCCCGGGGCACCCGGGCACCCGGGCGTGCAGCGAAAATCGGCGACCAACCTAACCTAACCATATGAATCCGCTAGGACCCCGACAGAGGCGAGCTCTGATTGGGGAATAGTCCTAGGGAAAAGAGGGGACCACCTGCCCAGCCCAACCTGACCGACGTCGCACAACTCTCCCCCAACCCACCCCAGCCCGACTCCCGCAACCCCCAGAGAAGGCCCGTCCGAACATGCCCCTGCCGCGAAAGGAATGCAGCTGAGAGGGAGGGAGGAAGAGAGAAAGAGAGAAAGAGAGAGAGAGAGAGAGAAAGAGAGAGCTTGCGGGAGGGCAGTCACGCGGCAACCACCTTCGACCAGAATCAAGCCTCCGCCCTGTCCACGGCCAGCGCGAGCGCGGCAGCCTCCACATAGCCTGGCCGCTCTTGGGTGGACTACAACCTTGTCTCCTGACAGGATTCCTTCGAATCCTTCAGATGGGTTGCAGTGCGCCGCGGGCGCGTCAGAAATCCGCACGCTGTCTCGACACAGCCTCGCACACTCCAAGAACATGGAGGGTGCGGCTCCTCGTTCGAATACCACGGAGGATACCACCTTGAGCCCGTCAGACGTACCCACAGAGTGGCGACCTCTTACTCCTCCCCCTCCCTCCCCCCTCGCTCTTCCTGCCCCCCAGAGGAGCCCACAAAGGCCCAGCCGAAGAGGGAGATCAAACCAAAACGACGAGCACCCGGCCTTGTCAGACCACGCCCCGTTTCGAATACCACAGGGGGTACATGCTTCGGTTCGTGCCCAGGAGAGCCTGTCCGACTCGTGCGACCTCTGGCCCAACAAGACCTCCCACGAAGGGGAGGAGCCTGGAACACAAGGAGAGGTACGGCAACGGGAGAAGATGCTGGCCGGCTGCCTGCCGCCAGCGCTCCTCTGAGAACCGTGCCAGCCTGTCCTGGACCTCGGCCTTGTACCCATCCCTTGTGCCTTGGGGGTTATGTAGGGACCAGATCGGTCAGTCTGGTGTGCCCCAGAACCTGAAAAGCACTAGACAGGCCCTGACCCACGTGCGGCCGTCGCACTCGTGCGCACCTGAGAATACGTCTGCCTCCTCCTCCTCCTCCTCCTCCTCCTCCTCCTCCTCCTCCTCCTCCTCCTCCTCCTCCTCTTCCTCCGCTTCTAACTTTGACCGCTCCTCCCTTCCATCCTCGTCTCCCCTGGAAAACCGGAACCCAGGACACGTCCAGGAGTGCGTTTTGACCAGAATCCCGTGGGGGGGATTCCAGCCGTGGCAGCGAGGAGCCCTCCGAAACCCGAACCGGACGATCGAAGCTCGACTGTCACGCCTCCTCCTCATCCTGCTCCGCGTGATTCTTCTCCACCAGCCCCAGACATCCGACAATCTGATTCTTTCAATGCGCGGCCCGGGGGGGGTCCCGACCCCGTCCCCAGGGGTGTATTTTGTTGTCCCCGATCCATTATTGACTGTCCTGGGGCCCGGCCACGAGCCACCGAGCTGACGAAGCCGAGATGGAGGAGAAACGCAGAGATTGCAATTTGCCCAGCACAGAACCCAACCATTTGTATACGAGTGGCAACTAACGGCGAGGAACTTTTTGATAGCGTATCACGGCAGCGGCCTGGGCGACACGCTATGCCGTGCAAGAGGATTGCGTGTCGCTCCGCTCCGCGGGACGGGGGGCTCGAAAAGGCTCAGCACGCTGACGCTTGGAAGTGGAGACGTGGGCGTGGTGGGCCAGAACCCGCGGAGCGACACGCGAAGCCAAAGTTCCCGACCGTATACGAGTGGCGACTACGAACAGGACCGCTGCATACACGAGAGCTTATTACCCCACTGCTGAAAATAAAAAATGTTGCGCTAAGAACATGGGCTTCACTCCAAGCGTCTTCTTAGACAGTAGCCCAGGCTCAGATATACAAACGTTCTACGAAAAAAAACGAGGCTCCAAGAAAACGCCCAGGGTCCCGTCCAGATTCTTGGTTCTTTTGAACGAAATCTGGAGCCCATGATGATATTATCTTTCTCAAAATGTCTGATGAGTGTTAGGAAACTCTCGTACCCCCGAGCGCTTCGCGAACCGCGACAGGGGCGAAGCGCAACGGGCTGGGCGACGCCATGCGGACGCAACCGTCGGGCCCGTCGGTGGAGCTCCCCATGGGGCCACATCGTACGATTCGATAAGGAACGAAGGAATCCAGGGTCTGGAAGCCGATGGAAGCCCAATCGTGGACTGGCCATGGATGTCACCGCCGCCCTCATCAGAAAAGGGCTCCTCCAGGGCCTCCCGGGCACCTTCCTTCCGGCCCCAGCCGCTCTCGAATGAGCGCGATGTGCTTCAGCTTCGTCTCGCCCTGGGAGAGCGAGGTGGCCACCGACGACCTCGCCCCGGTGGCCGAGGGCGGGCAGCGCGGAGTGGCGATTGCACCCCTGGGGAGGCCTCCGCCCCGATGTTCAAACCCCGGACTCGGACCTCGTGTTTCAACACCTGGGGGGGCTCACCCGCCCGTGGCCGTCGAACATGGCTCACGATGAAAAGGAAGCCCTGGAGAAGGTGTCGAGACCCTGGTGGGGTTCACGTCATCGGCAGGGCCGTGCCTCGGTCCGCGTGGACTCTTGCTTGAGCTTCCGCGACTTGCTCCAGATATTTGTTTGGCGACGTCTACACAAACTCCGATTCTTTTAGATAGGCATCGAACTACTGACTGACATGTACCTCGGTCTATCTGGCTTGATCCCCACAAGTCGATCGGAGAAGAGTCGTCAAGCCCTGCGGAGGCATGCTCCCCTGCACATGCGTGTTATTTGTTCTGAGGTGTGGGAACAGGCAGGCGCTGAAGGCGGATCCAGGTAAACCTGGCAGCCCCGACAGCTCCCCAGGGCCAACGCCGCTAGGGGGGCGGGGAAGCAATACGTTGTGTGGCAAGCAGGCGGGGGGAGGCACAAGCGGGAGAAGGGGGCGGCTCGTAGACCTGGGCCGGCACGGGAACGGAAAGAGCGGACCAGGAACTTGCCCGAAAGGGCTCACGGCACCCTTCGGTCTTGGGAGCCTTGGTGGTACGTAAGAGCTTGTTACGTCACCACTCTCTGTTGGGAGCCCTGGTGTTCAAAAACTCAGAGAAATCAATGTTTTTGGCCTCCTGAAGCCCTCTCGGGGGCCCTTTTGAAAGCCTCTGGAGCCGTCTCGAGACTGTCTTGGACCGGCTAGAAGCCATCTGAAGCTCTCTTGGGGCTGTCTTGGGGCCCTCTTGGGCCGTCTGGGAACCCTCTTGGACCGTTTTCGGCCCCCTGGGGGGCCTCTGGGGCCGTCTTGGGACGATCTTTGGGGCATCTTGGGCCCGTCCGGGTGCCCTCTTGGACCGTCTTGGGCCCGTTTGGGGCGCCTCGTAAGCCGTGTTGGGGCCTTTTTGCCGGCTCAGCCCAAAAAAATACAAAGAAACAGGCCATGGGAGCGGCCCGGGAGCCGCTTCACTCGAAAAAGTACCAGCGAAAACGGGCCAGTAGACCAATGACTTGTCTGCGAGGCCCCATCTTCCACAACTTTTTGAAAGCAGAGATCGCGTCTCGAGAAAAACGGCACGCGCGAGCTCGCCAGGCAGCAGTCCTGCCGAAGGAGAGGCAACTCGGGAGATGGCGGTCGGCATTGAGCAGGACCAGCATCACGAAAAGAAAAGCTTCAAGGAGAGAACTCGAAACACCAGAATGACGGAGGGCAGGCCACGGGTGCACTTGAGACGGGGAAAAAACGATGGGGCGGCAGGCAACACCGTGCAAACACTCCGATGTCTGCGAAGCCCCATCTTCCACAACTTCTTGAAAGCAGAGATCGTGTCTCGAGAAACGCAGCACGGGCGAGCTCGCCAGGCAGCAATCATGCCGAAGGCAAGGCGACTCGGGAGATGGTGGTCGGCACTGAGCGGGATCAACATCACGAAAAGAAAGGCAAGTCCCAAGTCACTTCCCGAAACATGGATGTGTTTTCTGTCTGCTAGCAGTCGTCAGGACGGCGGCGAGGTCACGGCACAAGCCTACAGTTGGGCGAGGCCCCGACTGCTCAATGTGCGGCTGTCCGGCGCACGAGCAACACTCACGACCCCGACAAAGCCTCCCTTTAAGATGCTGAATGCAGTCGGGTGTCGCGTTGCCGAAGAGAACATGCGCCCACTTGCGCCATCATGTGCCGCAACTGCAGAAATATAGGGAGGCGGACGCGGCACTGTGGCGCGCTCGGCGCCTGACAGTAGGAATCTTCCACCAAAATACTGCTAAATGGTTTTCCAAGAACCACAATATCTGAAATTTACCAAACACGCGAACGATGCGAAGGGTGACCCTGGGGATCTTGCTGCCACGCCGAAGGGCGGCGTGGTCTTTCTCACTAAATCAGATATGTCTTTCACTCCCCAGGGCTGCTCTGAGGTTCGAACGAAACGAATTCGCATCCGAGCAACTGAAAAGCCAGTGCGTTGTGCAATGGCTGCGCCAAGCAATGAACCTATATTCGGCATCGCTGTCCGAAAGGCGCAGCACAGCGGGGTCGGTGAGATCTAACCTGGCATCGCAGATGGCACCCCAAAGGCGAGCAGCACACCCTCGATACGAGATGGCTTCCCCGACCCCGCCCTCCCCGCAGAAAAGCCCGCGAGAAGGGCAGGGCGGCCGCGCGGCCAAAGAAAAGCGCCTCGAGGTTGTCGTCCGCTTTCTTGAATGCGGCGACTTGCCAGGACAGCAGACGGGCCGCCGACAGATTGAGCCTGGCGGCGTTCTCGCACCGTTTGAGGGGGCTCTCGCACTGCCAGCCCCCCCGCATCTTCAGCTCCACGCGGTCGCGGCGGCGGCCTTGCAGGTCCACCGAGGCCCCCGAGCGACGGCGCTGGCACAGCACGGGGCTGCGCAGATGCAGCTTGTCCCTGGCGCGGTTGAACTCCGTCGCGAGCTCTGGGTAGCCGCGTGGGAACAGGTGCGAGTCTGGGCGGCCAGTCGCGATCGCCGCGATCGCGCGCGGCAGCCCAAGGATATATATATATATATATATATATATATATATATATATATATATCTGTATAGCTCGCTTCGGCTCCCGGGCCAGGCACCTTTTCCATCTGGGACAGCACAGGGCCAGGCGTTGACCGAGCTAGAAGCGCGAGAGCAGCAGAGACATAGCGGACGAGGAGCGCGACAGCGCTCGAGAGGACCACCCGCGCGACCCTCACCCGACAAAAGTGGCGAGAAGGCGCGTCGGGATGGCCACGGGGAAAACTTCGAGCCATATATGTGCACGTCCGACCTGTTGCCTCTGCTCAGCCCTCAGTTGTGAAAACTACCAGCTCGCTTCGGCTCCCGGGCCAAGCACCTTTTCCATCTGGGACAGCACAGGGCCAGGCGTTGACCGAGCTAGAAGCGCGAGAGCAGCAGAGACATAGCGGACGAGGAGCGCGACAGCGCTCGAGAGGACCACCTGTGCGACCCTCACCCGATCCCGCAGGTTCAACTGGCCGAAGGCCGTATAAATAAAGAAGACACACTTTTCGGAGAGCAGGCAATGCGGGCTATCTCATGGCAAGAGACTGGAGGGCGAGACAAGGCTGAATGTGCAACGCTTCGACGATACAGCGCGAAGCGGCCTGGGCGAGGGGACGAGGATACACGGCGGCGACAGCGGTGCGCTTTCGCCCTTGCTCATCGTTGCCCTCCAGAATTACATGACGGTTGCCCGAGCGACTGCAAATGCATCTTTTTCCAAAGCAGACTAGCTGTAAAGGGTGCATGGCGCCCGCCCCCCAAGACATGATGGTCGTGGTTTTCTTGAAATCGGCGCCGTACTGACACTGATGTAGAACAGACTTTTGGCAAGACGGCCGGCGACACAAGCGAGCGAGGGGAGGGCACGACCAAATCTGCGAGGCATGTGGATTCTCGAGAAAGACAGGCACACGGGCAGAGATGCACTCACGAATTATGATCACTGTCATGCGCAGCGTGGCATTGCCCGCGGCGGCGCGAGCCTGCTCGGACGATGAGAGGTCGGGCAGCCCGAACGGGCAGCGGTCCGACCTGAGCGGGCGCCGCAGGGCTCGCGTCCAGCTGGTGCAGGGGGCGCCCAGCCAGACAGCACCCACTGCGCGCGACCGGATCCAGCCGACGACGGTGGCGATGAAGGCAGGCCGCACATGATCCTCTAGTGGGCTGCGCTGCCAGTCGAGCCCAAATGCGGCGAAGCCGCGGGCACGCAGCGCCTCGGCGATCCTGCCAGCTCCGCAGAGGAGCTCCAGCACAGGGCGGCGCCTGAGGGCCCGGCCTGACGCAGCAGCGCGGCGATGCTGCCGCTGCAGGTGCCGCTTCACCGCGTCCGTCGGCGGGCAGACGCCGTCGCCGCCTAGGCCGCGGGCCGCCTGCGTGGGCGGCCGCTGGCGGCCAGCTGCCTTCCCTGAGGCAGCGGGCGGAGGAGCGACGCGGCGGCGGCCAGGACGCGGCCAGTCGCTAGCCAGCTGGGCAGGCGGCCGCCGACCGGCGGCTCCAGGTTGCTCTCGACGAAGGCCCCGAGCTCCATCACCTTGGACGGGATCCGGGCGAGCTCGTCCAAGAGCTTGGTCTCCTGTACGAACAGCGCGCCCAGTCGGCCCACCTCCAGGTCCCACCGCGGCTCCGACGACGCTGTGGACTGCCTCCGAGCGTGAAGCAGCGGGTTGAGCCCAGCCTCCCGATTGAAGAGGATGCTCACGTCGTTCACGCCTGTCTTGCCTGGCTCCTGTCCACTCTCGTGCAGGAACAGCCCGAGGGACTGGTAGCCGGCGCCCGCCGCCACCGACGGAGACATCAGATGCCGCCCGCGCAGCTCCGCCGTCCAGCCAGTCCTGAGGCACGAGGCGAACATGACGAGGATGCAAATGGCCAACCGTGGGAACCCGTCGTGGACCAGGAGGCCCGCCAAGGAGAGCACCACGCGACGCGGCAGTGGCAGCAGGGCGCGAGCAGGCGAGCACCGCGCCCACGCCGCAGCTGCGCGGTGAGCCCTCGGCAGTAGAAGCGAGGCCCCCTTGTGGAACGAGCCGAGGAAGTACGCCACCGCCGCCAAGAGGACGCCCCCCTGAGTGCCGCCGCCGCTGAGGAGGAACTCGCTGTGCATGTACAGCACCAGCGCCTCGCCCAGGCCCGAGTGCGTCGCCCAGTCCAGGCGGCGCGCGACACAGAAGTCGACGAAGCTGGCGAGGGCCTCCCGGTAGCGACGAGCCGTCGAGCTCCTCGCCGCCAGCCGCTCGAGCAGCGAGAGCCTCGCCACCGCCGTCGTCTCCACCGCCAGCGCCCGCGCAGGGGCCGCACGCTCGGCCCGGAGCGCCAAGGGCGCCGGGACGGCCGAGCGGCGAGCCGCTGCTGCAGCCTGGGCCAGCGCCAGCACCAGCACAAGCCGCCGCACGTGCGAGCAGCCCGCCTCCAGGGGGCTGCGGCGCCGGCCGTCTGCCAGAGAACCAGCCAGAACGCCCGCGGCTGAGCGAGTCGGAGGGATTGGCCTCAGAAGGTATCCACCTCACTGCCAGGGTTGAGCCAGTGGCCACGGAGAGCGCGCAGATCTTGCGAAGCGTGCTCTGGAGGTGCTTACTGCGGGCCCGACCCTTGCCGACGGACAGGACGAGCGGCAGGTTGTCGGAGAGGATGAGGAACCGAGAACCGAACGCGGAGGTGGACCTCAGGAGGTGCCGATACCCAAGAACGAGCGCTTCCCCCTCCAGAGCTAAGATGTTGGCCCCCCCCTCGATGTACACGGCGGCAACGGAGCCCCAGGCGGGCCCACGGATGAAGTGGGGCGGGACCTCGTCGAAGTCCACGACGGGCCTCATGTCCATGATCGACTTGTAGGTGTCCCCAGGAGCCCTCGGGAGCTGCGGCTCGACCAGGCCCTCAGAGGCCTCACCCAAGACGCCCTCGAACGGCAGGCCCTCGGCGATGCCATCCCTGACGAGCTGAGTACTCACCCCGAAGTGGCCCTCGAGGCCCCCCAAGTGCTCGGACGAGCTATCACCGTTGATCCCGATCGTCCTACGCCTTGCCTGCGCACCTCCCTCGACTTTGTACCTCCACTTTTCAGTGACTCTCCCAATGGCGCCCACACGGTCCTTTGGGGCGCGACGAGCAACAACGCCCAGCCCAAATGGCGAGACGTCTGCGCAAGCAACCCGCCCGTGCCACGGGGCGCCAAGGTCAACAGTACAGAGCGGCAGCAGGTCGTGGACTAGCTGGAGCTCATGACGGACCGCGGGCCAGAGCGGCGCCGCGACTGGCCCAGTGGCCTCGACGTAGGCGTAGGTGGCCCCGAGGATGCACAGCAACTCTCTGCGCAGCAGCAGCGCCCAGGTGATATGGCCGGTCAGAACGCGCAGCAGGAAGCCGCTGACGACTTGCCTCCTGAGCGTGGCGCGAATAGCCGCGCGCAGCCGCCAGATGTTGCGCGTCTTGAGGCTCAGCCAGCGCCCCTCGCGCAGCGATAGCCCCAGAAAGTCGCGATCCTGGGAGGGCGCCTCGAGCTCGTGCACGGCGAGCCCGTGGCGCGTCAGGTCGTCGGTGACGGCCTGCAGCCGCTCGCTCACAGTCTTTGGGGAGCCGCCGAGGACGAAGTAGTTGTCCACGTAGCCGGCGCCCGCGACCGAGTCCAGGGTGCTCGTGAGCTGGCAGCCGCAGTGGCCGTCAAGGATGAGGTCACTCTGAGGGAAACCAGCGCGGCCCAGCGATGCCTCCAGCACCGTCTGGCAGAGGTGCAAGGCCCAGCTGAAGCCCATTGGCAGCACCACCACCTGGGGCAGCAGGAGCGCCTCGCCCTCCACCCCGTCCAGGTCCGCCGAGGCGATGGAGACCCGCACGTCGCCAGTCTCGAGCCGCCCCCAGGCGGACGCAGACGGCAGCTGGGTGCGAGGCGCATCGACGAACGCGCAGTTGGCGAGCCGCGCGTCGAAGACGACCCTCAGACGACCAATCTTTTTTGGCGCGAAGAAAATCCCCATGTTGCCACGGCGCCCTCGCGCCGGGGCAAATGTCAGCATGCTGCGCTCCATCATGGCGCTGAGGAAGGCGGCGTAGTCGGGCAGCGAGCGCAGCAGCGCAGGGTCCGTGCATGGACCGTGCGGGCAGGCCTCCGCCCGCAGCTGCCGCGCCCCCTCGGGCTCGCGGAGCATTTGGCACCCCCACTCCCGCAGCGCGGCTGAGTCACGCACGCCCAGCAGCCCAAGGAGCGGAGCGGGCGGCTGCGACACATCAGGCCAGGAGACGAGGTCTGGCACGTAGGGAGTGGTGGGCCCGCCGCCGTCGGGGCACAGCGCGGACCCAGCAAGGAGCTCCCGCAGGGCCCCGTTGTTGTCGGAGACGTCGTCACGATACTCGGGTGGCTCAGGGCCCAGAGCAGCGACCGAGTCCCAAATGTGGGCGGCGGCACAGCGCTGCCCGGCAGTCGGCGTCGGCGCGGGCGAGGACTGGTCGCCGTAGAGGTCATTCAGAGCGTGCACGGCAGCATTGGCACGGCCCAGCGCGTGCGCGAGGGCATGGCTGGCCCGCACCCGCCGCCGAGTCCGTGACACGTGGGACACCACATCAGCAGCAGCCAGCGGCGGTAGCGGAAAGATGTCCCGCTGCCGGTCGTCGTCCTGCCGCCGGCGCCCAGCGCCGCCAGGGGAGGAGCCCGCGCTGTTGGCGGGCTCCGCGGGGGCCAAGGGGGACGGAGGCGGCGGCTGGCCAGGCCATCCGCCCCGGGGCGAGTCAATCATCGCCCCCTGCGGCGTTGGGCCCGCCGCCACGGCCGCCGCGGCCGCCGCCGCGCCGCCCCCTCCCGCGCCCTGCACCAGGCTGGCCGGGCACGCCCCCAGCGAGGGCGCGCTCCTCTCGCGCCTTGCGCCTCTCCTTCGCCACCGCCATCTCCCGCTGCAGCTCCTGCGCGAGGTGGTCGCGCAGGTCCGGGCAGACGCACGCCGCCCCGTCGAGCTCCTGCGACCCCATCATGACCGCGCGGTCCGCCGCGCCGGCATCACCCGGGGTGACCAGCTGGCGGTAGCGCTCCTCCTGCACCTGCACTGAACGGGCCACGAGCTCGAGGTGGGCCAGGTTCGTGGCGTGCTCCTGGTCGTAGGTCACTGCCGACTCCAGCACCATGCACCCCATCTGGTGGACGTCCACCCCCGGCGACTCAGGGTCGGGCCCCGTCTCAGCTAGCCACCGCTGGTGGTGGGCCGTCGGGGTCCCCGACCTCTGGGCCATGTACTGCAGCACCCACAGCAGCGCGCGCGGTCCGCGCACTGGCCAGTCAGGCCAGGGGAACTCGACCATCTGGGAGACAATGACCCGGAAGTCGGCACGCCGCACTCCTCGCAAGTCCCTCACGACGGCGAAGATGCGGGCGTCGCCGCCAGGGCCGGCCTGGGCGCCGCCAGCCAGCACGCCCGCGGGCGCTGGCACTGCGGCAGGCGGCGCGACGCCGGGGGCGGCGGCCACGGCAGGCCGGGCTGGTCCAGGGGCCAGCATGAGGACGTCCATCGGAGCACCACCAGAGGGTCCCCGAAGAGTTGGGGACCCCCCCCGCGCGACCTCCCAAAACTCAGGTTTGCCTCAGAAACCGATTGATTCCAGACGGCTCTTAAACTTATATGACAAAAAACGCACGGAATCAAACAATGCCAGTTTACAACGTAACAAGAAATCTAATGACATCGAATGGTGTTCTGAACTACATACCCAGAAAATTGCATGAGATTCCAACGTTGCTTTGGCTATCATAACATAACAACAGGCGGCTGGCGGAACGCCGACTGCTGACATCTGCACCGAAATGTGTGTCGAATCAAGCGGACGTGAGCCAAGCATCGATTCTATGAGCAGGACAATCGGCATGCATTTTGCAACATAGAACTCTTGAACTCTGGAATCACTTGTGATCTTTGAAGCAACTGGGAGACGGATCGGCACGGCAGTGGAGGAGGAGAGGAGAGGAGGAGGTGAAAAAGATTTGCACGGACGGATGTAGGTAGCCAAGAGACGGATGTTGTGTATCTTGTCTGTTGCCGCTTCTTGCATCTCGCCTATCTGACTGACGCGCCACGGCCAACCCATGCGCGCGGTTAAATGCGTCAGTGCAGGAGTGGTATACAGTGCGAGCGCTCGAAGGGGAAGAGAACACAGATCGGTTCCGTTGGCCCCCCTCACCATCCCCCCCCCCATCGACCCTCGACCGCGTGCGAATTCCAGGAAGGAGGAGGGAGGAGGAGGAGGGCCACGAGGCCAAGAGAGTTGATCTGTGGCGTCTTCATCCCTCGCAGTGGTGGCCAGAGGGCCAGGGTTAGCAGCCAGGAAATCGCAAAACGTTGCAGAAGCGACGCCTGATTGTCGAAATGCAGCTCGGGTGTCGTCCTCATGTATACCTCTCCTCCTCTTCTCCCTCCCCTCCTCCTATCCTCCTCTTCTCATATTTCTCATCCTCCTCCGTTCCTCCTTGCTTTTCCTCTCCTCCTCGTCTGAAGTGGGTGCCAGCCTGTGCTGAAGCTCCCCAGCGCAACAAGACTCGCGTGGCCTCGCCGTCTCGTGGATCGCGATGCAGCCTTGAAGTCCGAGTCATCCTCCTGTCCCTCCTCCCCCGTGCTCCTCCTCCTCCTGACCAAAGCTGGCTCAGGCATCTCGCTAGCGCAACAGATGCGCCACTACGGCTGTAGCCGCCGTGTCCTCACCGACGCGCTCCAACCTCTGGCGCTTGAGGGTACCCTTCAAAGCTGCAGACTCCTCCCGCTTCCTTTTGATCACATCCTCCCGGGCCGCCTCGCGTGGAAACAACGGTCGACAGAGGCCCCTGTAAACGTGACCCTCGACCTCCGCATTGATTGCCTCCACGCCCTTGACTTGCAAGTAGGGCACCTCCAACCTGACGAACCTGTCGTCACCAGCCGACCCCTTGTAAACCACGGTGATCTGCTTCTTATGGATGGCAGTGTTGACCCCCTCCGGCTTGGACGTCGCCCGAACGAGCCACGCGGGCGTCGGCAGGGGCGCGCGCGGCTCTGATGTGCCTTGCATGGGAACAATGAAGGCGTAGTACGTGCTCACTGCCCCATCCACGTCGATGTCGACGGAGCCAGCTCGCACACAGAGCTTTGAAGGAGCCGTGTCGTTCGCCACCAGAAGGACATGCCCAAAGAAGTGCACGGTAACTTCGGAGCGCTTCTCGCACTGGAAGTTCATCGACAGACGGAATGCTCGGCCGTCTTGGGCTGGCTTCCCCGACATTGTCCGTGTCAGGCAATCGGTGTTCGTGTCTTGGATGATAGATATCTCGCGTGCCCCCTCCTGCTGATGACCCCAAGACAGAAACCAACCATCCATGAGCATCGCCGTGGCTCTGATGCCAATGTCGATCGCATGCCACGATGTCTTTCCCAGTGCCGAGCTGCGCGCATGAGGAAATACCTCCAGGAATTGCAGCCCTGCTCCAAAGAAATCTCCATCTTTACTGGTATACTGCACCTTCGGCCTGTCAAAAGAAATATTGAGACGCCTTTGCCCTTGCGACCCTTGCGAGTCTGACTTGACAGTGCCGTCAGCGCATTGAGATTCACCAGAGTCACCTCCCGAAGCTGGCAAGGCTGAACACGCTGGAGATGTTGAAACTGTTTCTGTTTGGAAGAAGCTCGTGACTTTCTCGCCCCACTCTTTCACGAGGGTAGCTTCAGTTGACTGTCGCCTCTTCATTTTTTCAGCCACGATGTGTTTGACGAAGTCTGGCTTGATCAAGGTAGAGCACACCGCCTCGTCGAGACACTTCATTTCAATTGCCTCTGCTCGCAATTCGTTGACCCGCTTTCGCATGCATTCCTGTCTGAAAGTGTCTTCGGTGCGCTTCCACTCTGCCGACGACATCCCAGAAGTCTTACCTGACATCAACTCCGAAGATCTGGTGAGAATCTTGATCCACATGTTCTTGCAATCGGCAGTCGTGTTGTTAAGCATATCGTTCCTCATAATATGCGGAGCGCAAGAGAAGCACAACTCAACTGATGCATGCAGTTGGGTGAGATTATCACGGTCGCCAGCTTCTTCACTTTCAACACATTCCGCAATCGTCTTGCGCACAGTATCAAGGCAGTCGATCGTGTAGGTCGCGCGCATGGTGAGGAAGCCTGTGAGCAATTCTTTGTTGAGGTTCGCAACTTTCTCAGCCAAAGACGAAGATCGGTCCTGCATCGCGGTATGAAGGCTGGTCTCCGCGGTCAGTCTCAGAAGGTCGGTGAGACTCAGCGCCAACATCACCAGGTCCGGGTGGATGTATTCAGACACCAACTCGACGATGCACCCTGCGAGGCGCGAGAAGAACGGCCCGTTGTCCTTGCTGTAGAAGTAGTCCTCGACCTTCGAATGCATGCGCATCTCGTCCATCAAGCGACTCTTCACCTTCCCATATATGCCAGCGCGAAGCGGGTGCGCCTCAAGGTCGGAGCCGAGCGGATTTTCAGAAACGCATTTAACGACATCGTTGGCCGCACCAGGGTACCTTTTCAGGATGTCAGCGATGGTGGACATGCATTCCAGGATCTCTGGATCTTCCTCTTCGATATCGTCCTCGTTAGACTTCTCATCCTGCTCTTCATGATCGGCGGGATCGGCTGGCCTAGCTGGGTCAGCGACATCATGGTGGTGGTGCAATTCTTCAATGATCAGATTGCAAAGTTTAGTGTACTGCTTGAACTTGAGCAACTGCCCAGTCTTGCTGCGATAGTACTCAGCCTCCTCTTGGATCATGAAACGCACCCCCAACGCGCACATCGACCTGGCAAATTCCACGTCCCTCTTG